CATAAATCACACTCAAATATTCTGTTTTGAGCTCGCTTAAACTCACAGTGTCTTCAGAGTAGCTACTCGACCCACCCATTGACGCAATCGCTGTATAATCGCAGGCAAGTAGTACAAGTACACTAGCTAAGTGATAAGAGTGAAATTTCCACGTCAGTAAGTACCTACTCGTATTTATTAAGTAAGTATAATTTCTACTTGTAACATTAGACAAAATTTTAACAATCCGTAAGTTACCGATAATATTTCAAATATTTAGTAATTCCTCCGCCATGTAGCGGTACGATTGCCAATCAACTGCACATGGGCATTGGATCAGAATCAGTCTGAAATACTACGTATTAAAACTATCACCCCGACACGCGCTGTATGGCCGTCAAAGCTTAGCGGCTTCTATAAACATCATCTAACGACCTAAAACTAATACAAACACTAACAACCCATAATAGAACCGTTAGACCCCTAGCCGAGACCCAAGACGCAACTACCTATTGTTTGTAAGTCAAAAAAAAATATTTAAACAGCCCACCGCCATAAACACAAGCTTTGTTCCTTACGTTCGCGTTACCCGCCTTTGGCGGCTCGTAAACTTTTTCTTTAACTTTATCGCAGATCGACCGTCAACGTCCTTTCGGCCATTCGCACGCCGAAATTGACGGGTTGAAGCGAAATCGACAAAAGAACAATATACCGAAATGTTGGCAAACACGCGCTTTACAATAATACTTTGTTAACAGTTAATTGCAAGGGTTTGCCAATAACCACGTCTTTGTTGCCAACTCTTTATTTACAGAGTTTACGACGTCGCACAACAAATGTTTTACGGGTCCATTTTTTAACGGTTACTTTCGATAATGTGCTTCAGACAATGTGGTAAAAGCCTTATAGTTTTTTTTTAACAAGACCTGTAAAATTCCTTAATAAAACCAACGTCACGTTTGTTCTAAGTTTGTGGTCGGCCATGATTGTGTGCAGAACAAAATGTGGCACCTGCCGCAATCGCTGCAATCATTCGAAAATTGACGACTGTCATGATTATACACGAGGCACACCTCGTTATAAAATAAACACTCGCATCCCGAGCGCAGCCTCACTTCGGGGCGTAAGCAAATATTAGTATTGACGCCCGGTCCGCCCGGCTCTGTAATTATGAGATGGGCCACGGGCGGATGCCTCACTGATAGTGACGAGATCGCTCATACGTTTCGCCAGCACCCCAAAATAACAAAAACTGAAACCCGAAATGGTTATTTCTATCCACTGCTTCATCTGATAGCGAAAGCACAAACATTCGAACTCAAAACGCAATGGAACAAAAATTATGATTCATGCTTTTTACTTTGGTATTAACTCTCGCTGCTGCACGTAATCATTTTCTTGAAGTCGATTTAAGCAATTATGTTCCACAAAAAACTAATACTACTCGTAGCTTTACAGGGATTCATTTTTTAAATTTATTTTAGGTATAATTTTATGTAAATTTTCAATATGGAGTGAAGGGAATAAAGTAAAAAACCATAATTTTTTATAAAATTTATTTGCCATCGCTAAAAAAATAGTTACCTACGTCATATACATTATAATTTTATTTACATTTACTTCGCATTTATAATCACAGCAAATCAAAGTGCTTTCGATGTTACGAATGGATTTCTCTATTAATAATTAACATAACTGGTATATAGATATGTGATAATGAGAATGGATAGAGATTCCAAGATGATAATAAAACTGATCTAAGTATCTTAGGCTTATATAAATACATTATAAATAAATGAAAAATAACACAAATTGATTATAAGTGTATTTCATAAGTATCTAGGTTTAACATTAAAATAACATCGTAATAAAGCATTTTTGTTTGTAATAACGCAATCACATAATGAATACTGCTGAATGCTAACAGTTGAACTCTTTGAAAACTTAAATTAAATGAGTAAATACATTATTAGTTAATATTTGTTAAGCATGCTATGTTTGGAATGGTTACAGTGAACTACGCCGCACTTATGACATTTTGAATCTGTAATATGCAAATACAGACTATACGCGGCCCTGCCCTGTGTGCGAGTAAAATTATGTTTTAAAACGACATAAATTAAATACTTTCAAAACTTAGTACAATTACATTTCTATTTTTGAGCATTATTTACTTTTTGCAATAATTATATTATTTTAGGTAAGTGCTGATTTTTAAATAGTTACATATATGTTATCTGTGGAATAAAATTGTTGCTGTCACTGTCTTACACAAACATCCTGACGCGACAGCATCATAACTAATCAACAGATAACTTTTATTTAAACATTGAAAAATCAGCACCTGTACTAATTATAAAGTGAATATTTAAACAAACCGTAGTGAAATAGTTTTACGAAAAGAAACGCACAGCAATGTAGATTAAAAAGAAAAAATAGAAAGTACGTCTTTGGCACGCACTGACGCCCAACCAGCGTTGTTGTAATGTATTCACCTAATTCGATTTATAAAAAATATTTAATATAATAATAAATTGTGCATATTATTCTCGACCCTTAAATATATGGTGACGGTACATAAAATATGGATTTAGGCGATTTTTGGACACTAATTGACTTTAAGATATGTTTAGAAAAATGTTTACTGAGTTTTTGAATAAGACAATTCACATATCAGTACTAGTGTTGCGAAAATGAATTAATGCTGATCGATGAAAATAATCGATTAAGTTCTGATCTTAAGATAAATGGGGATGAACGATAATCATTATTATGATGTTTTAACGTATATTTTTAGATTATAATAACTGTCATAAGTGATAATAAGATGTTTTACATCATATAACTATAAATAACGTAAATATTTAGCTATATGACCCGTTAAGATCGGTGTAGTATTTAGTTTAGTGAGAGCAGGAATGCAAACTTATCATTATTTGGGGGTAGGCTGAACTTTGTTCTGAAGCCGTGCTTTATATAAATAAATTTAGCTAATATTTACTACAATTAATTCTGTTCTGCGGTTTACTGAAATAACCGATTATCGAGCTAACTCGATTCGTTTCGAGGCACGTTCGGGGCTCATAGGCGAAGCGGCGGCTAGCACGAAACAAAACAGTTAAATGAATAAGCCGTAAAACACAATTAACTAATTTGCTACAAGTTGGAAAAGCACTAAGTTTCTCGCAGATGCTCCAATAAATGGGCACATAATCTGCTCTTGACACATCTAATTATGAACTAAAATGTTCTTAATTAAGGAAGATAAATGTTGTTATGCGGTTGTCTCTATCACACATAGATTTACACAAGCAATAGACAGAGACAAATATACAGTTACATTATAACAGTTCAATCGGTTTTGACGTCTATGTCAGAGTAATAAAATGTATTTATGAAATCAATTTTTGCAATTCATCTAGATTGGCTTTTGTCTTGCATGCAATAGAAGTCAAAATCGTTTGGCGAACTGTAAAAACTTCCATCAAATTATTTCCCAATGCACGAAAGTTTAGAGTTTACAAACGGAATTATGTTTAAGTAATTTTACAGGTAAAGTGAAAGTTCTATTTATCATGAAAAAAGTAAACGTTAAGTTTTTATTGGATAAATAATTTAAATTGTTCATCAAATCATATGTTTTACATCTTTGAACAATGGTGATTATATTATTTAAGAAAAATACTTTGGCATTGCGATCAACATTTGGAAAATTAATTAAAACTTTTAACATTGTTATATTAAAAGCACCATAACAATTATTCATAAAGTTTATAATATTACAAGTTTGATATTTCACCTTTAAAAAGACACCATAATTAATAGTAAATTAAGATCACATTTCTTATCATCGTAAACATAGAGGGCGCTAGATACGTTTAAAATCTTCTGCAATAGTGGCAATTATTGTCTTTTTATCTCGGATCCATAGACCCTGGTCTTTTGCGAACGATTTTTGACACAAACTGGACAGAGGTCCTTTAAGAAATTCTACTCGAAATTAAATATTTCTCTTATCACAGCAAGATCATAATATAAATATATTAGTCACTGTCCAAGTAGGTATTCGTAAGTATTAATATTCTTCAAATACTATATTTGATTGTCCACTTTCCTGTACGAAGTAAAAACTGGGTTTAGAACGATTGATTTGAGTTAACAGAACTGGGAATGCTTTATAGTTTTCACAGGGAGGCAAATAGTGAATGGGAATCTAGTGCAGCATTTATGCGATTAATACCCGCACGGAACAATAGGGGCTACCGTTTTCCCCCAACAGATGTCGCTAGTCTAGCAAAAGGTCACTCCAAAGCGGGGTGCCCCATTGATTAGTCTGACAGACATGTTTGCAATTGAATATATACATCATACAAAACAGAAGCAATAAATAATTTAGAGACACATTCCTTTCAAAATGTCCATAAAAACAAGAGAAGGAGACTCTTGATTTTCTTGTCATGTTGATTCTAAAACCCATATTGAAGTGTTACTTTCATCACAGGTTTCTTTAGTAGAGTTACCTCCGGTTTCCCAAAGGCCGATCAATGTTAAAATCAGTTTAATCTCTTGTCAAGTCATCTGATTGGTTGACTGAATTATCAACAAAAATGAATGACAAGAGATTTAACAGGAGATTAGTTAATTTTAGCGTTGACAAGCCTTTCAGAAACCGGGTGTTAGTTTTAAGACATTGCCATTGAATTGACAAATTGTAGGGGACCTAGTAATCGGGGTATTTGCATTCAGTACACGATTAATAAAACTATGCTTTTTATTCCCCTGGACAAATAATCACGTTTAGCCTCAAGAGCCTCAGCGATCGACCGATTTAAAACTGTATTTAGAGTAAAGATAAGTCTTAAAATCGGTCGGCACTAGAGGTTTATAAAAATCTTTTAGCTATTTATGTTATGTATTGTACGTAATAAGAGACAACGCTACCTCTTCATACCATGCAAGATCCTAGCCTGCTCCAAATTAAAAAAAAAAATTGAATGTATATCCAATGACAAGTCTCCAGGACTCTCGTAACAAAAGTAATTCCAATACATTCTTTCAAGCTAACAATAATGATCATTCGTCTCAAAATTATTGTCGATTTATATTACAAAAACTTCTTTAAAAATAAGTCAGAAATTTAGAGCTCAATTTTCCCGAACTTTAACCATTAAAAAAATATTTCTTAGAATTGACGGTAGTTAATTATGAAAGTATATTCCAAAAACAATACAAACGTGAATCCATGCAAACGACGTAAGAGTTTTTAGTCGCAACATGTCTTGTCTACGCCAGCGTCTTCATTTTGTGACTTGTCTATGACTCAGGGAAGAGAATGCTTTCAACGGGTGCTGGCGCCGTCAAGTCATCGTGTTCCGAGCGCGACCAATCCTGTGAAACGAATAAAAACATATTAAAGATTTACTTCTATCCAATATTAAAGGTGAATGTTTATAAACCTTATTTTTGAAGAGGGCAAATCATCAAAATGGTTTCTCTCAACCAGGGAATGACGAGATGGAGTGTCATACTTTTATTGACTAAAATCCTGCTCCAGGCCGAAGCTACGATCTCTTATTGCGCGTAACCCATAAGCCCGGCCAAATGGTTAAATCAGCCCTGTTGACCCCATCTGTGGTGGTCTATTTGCTCTTTGAGGCGAGCACGGAACGCTACGTGCCTTACGCTCGGGTATGGTTCTGGTCGGGCGGCGAGTTACCCTTACTCGCCGTCCGCAGACCCGCGCTTACGGTGGCCGGATATCGTCGCTCGATCCTCGACGCCCGGAGTGTCACTTACTGCGGCGGCTGGGGTATGAGGAGGATAGTTCCCTCACGCGTTTCGCCTCTTACATTGCGAGCATCACGGCTTCGCAGAAAGAGGTCGTTCTCCCAATTTCTACTGATCCTTACTATGGGCTTGACAATGTTTTTAAACAGTGCGGGGGTCACGGTGCGGGTGCGCAGTAATTTATAGTGTGCTAGGCCCAGGAAGGAGAAGAAACAGGGTGGTGGTCAGCAAGAGTCTAACTCTCCCTCCCGAGAGGGAGAAGCCAATTGATGAATTTCCCAGTAGTGGACTTTCATCTGACTGAGAGTCAGCGTCTGTGGACTCTACTAACACGAGAGACGATGTAGTTGCCCTTTCTTAAATATCTCCAAAATTAAGTCGTCACATGATTTCCTAGTACGATTCTTTCTTGTGTTACATACCACTAAAACTTCTTAAATAAATCGCTTTAATTAAAATTACCTGTTCCTCAGTGCTCGCGAAGAATAAATAGAAGAGATTTGTGCCCAGATCAATTGCCGCTGCCAAGTAAAACACCTCACGCCACTGACCCAGCGTTTGCTGTGAAATAGAAATAATGAAATAATATATTTTACTTAGGGATGATTTTTCAATAGTCATATAAATGTTATCTGAAGAATAAAATTGTTTTTGTCCCTGTCTTATACAAACATTCTGACGCGACAGCATCATAATTATTCATCAGGTAAGTCTTATCTAACCATTGAAAAATCAGCCCTTATAGTAATACACGCGTTCTAACTATACATGGTATGACCATGTATAGTTAGAACGCTCATTTTGATGCAAAGATTTCATTTAGCATTTTGTAAGTACAACTTATAAAAAAGGCCTGTTCCACTGCTTTCATAGTTATGTACAAACGATAAAATTATGTTATTTAGTCATTTTTTTACTGAACGAAAAGAAAACAAGAAATCATAGATTTTTTCACTAGGGCTTATCTTGAAGCTAACTGAGTTCCTCATCAAAGAGTTATGTGTGTAACCCATTTAACATGATAATGAATTTAATATATTTCAAGAAAGTTATAGGAAAATAGTTTCCACTTCCTACGGTTGTACAAAAAGTAACTTCATTTATTTCTACAAAAAGGTTAATTGGACTGCGCGGTTGGCGCAGTGGCTGGGCAACTGGCTGCGGGTCAACGTGTCGCAGTTTCGATACCCGGAACAACTGTTTGTGTGATCTACACATTGTTGCCCTAGTTTAGGGTGTGATGTGTTTGTGGATTTGTATGTTTGTCAACACACCTACGACACAGGCGAAAATCATAGCGCTGCGCTACTTTTAAAAGAAAAATATTGTTTGTTGATCGTTATAATAACAATGAAATAAAAATATACATTACCTGTTCTGCTTTAATAATATGTCCGACGACGTAGGGCGCCATGAACCCGCAAATGTTGCTGGCAGCGTTCGTTATGCCGTACATAGTGCCCGCAAACTGCGGCGACAGGTCGATGTGGTTCATTTGATTACCTGCAATTAACATACAAAATGTATTGTATTTCAACTTCGAAAATCACCATGCTAGCAAGTGTGGGAGAGCCATGCTTCGGCATGAATGGGTCGGCTCGACCGGAGTGATACGTGATACCACGGCCTCACAGAAAACTGGCGTGAGACAACCACAGCGTTGTGTTTCACCGTGTGAGTGAGGTTACCGGAGGCCCAATCCTTCCCCTCTCCCAATCAATCAATCCCTTAATCTCCAAATCCCTAATCCCTAAAAGGTCGGCAACGAACTCGTAACTCCTCCGTTGCGGGTGTCCATGGGCGGCGCTGATTGCTTACCATCAGGTAATCCGTCTACTCGTTTGCCGACCTATTACATAAAAAAAAAACCAATCACGGTCGAAATATTTTCATGCAAGAAAAACTTTCTTATTATATTCCCAATCAAGATCGAATCTAGGTCAGTTACAATGCTTAATTGGTAGCTATTATCTTTTTACTGCTACTCTCGAATAATAAAAACATTAAATACTTCCTTTGCACAGTCTACGCAAACGTGACCTGAGCAATAGAGCGAAAAATCAGCTGTCTTCGTAACAAGGTCACGCAATGCCGAGCCGCATGTAATGCTGATGTCACATCCGCAAAGTAAATAAGTAATACTAATCATCAATTAATTATGATTGTTTATTTTAAAAACAATGGAGTTTCTTGCTCCTTCTTCTCCATCGGAATCTACACTTTGGAACGAGCAAATAGCTTCACTAAGAGGACTGACCGAGAGACTGACACTTAAGATCTCTAAAATTTTGTTTGACGTGCAGGAGTGCCTGTAACGGTCTAATTGAAATAAATGACTTTGACTTCGACTTTGAATTGAAAAAATTACATATTTATCGCGTCCTTGTCCCGTTACGTTGTCGTTGTATGATTTTATTTATTTCAGTGTTAAGGGGTTGTTTTCTATGGGCATAAATTCTCGCTACATACACGTATGAAGAAGACGAAATCCCCAATTCCCCGATCATCAAATCCGTAACGATCCCCACAAGGGAGGCAACGCACTTTAACTCCAATTGTGATGCATATCATAGTTGGGGCTGATCTCTGACCATCAGATAATCCGTCAGTCCGTTTTCCGTTGCATAACAATATGGAAATTCCGTCTTGAAATCCCGACAATATCTAATTATTAACTCACCAGCATACGCAGCACCTCCGAAGGCCGACGTGATGCACAGGAGTAGAATGACAGCGATCCTGTCGCAACCAGCCCACGCGATACCAAGCAGACCAAACGCGGGGATAAATGCCGCTGTGGAACAAAACAAAACTTAAAAAAAGGAAAAGTATATTATATTATTTTATACTTTATGGGATTTAGGCGGACTTAATGCCTACCATTCTCTACCAGTCAACCTTTGGGTCAAGTAGAAAATGAGCGAAAAATAGGCAAGGGAAATATGTTAATATACGAAATGATTTACAATTAATTTAAAAAAACCTTATAAGTACATGAAAAATTATCTATATAATACGTTTTAATCGTAGTAGACGTAATAAACGTATTAATCTTTTTATATATAAAAATGAATTGCTGTTTTGTACTTTCGCTTAAACTCGAGAACTGCTGGTCCGTTTTGGATAATATTGGTCCTTAAATGTTCGTTGCAGTCCAAGAAACGTTTGAAGGATTAGAACATTAGTTATATTTGAGGCAAAACGAAGTTTGCCGGGTCAGTCAGTCATATATAAAGAGAGAATACGTAATTAATGGCGCCGAAGCTTGATCTTTATCATATCATCTTTATCTTTATTCTTCATAAGTATCTCTTTACTAGTAGAAAAGCTAACGTTCCATCCGCCACCTCCCAATATATCGGATTCTTATTTTACGACAGTTATTTTACAGGTTAATATAATAAAAGCAAATTAAAAAAAAGAGAGCCGTGTTGGGGCATGAAGCTGCTTATAAAAAATCAATTATGTCATAAAACAAAATTTTTACGGTGAATAATGGCCATTTTCATCATTTCATGATTAAATTAAACAACTGGATAGTTTACTTGGTCAAAAATAAATTAATTCGACATTTGAATACAATAAAATATTAAAATGACTAGTTATACTTTTATTCATCGATTGATCAATGCACAAGTTTTAGATTTTTTTTAGCTAATTTATTAAGAAATAACTAAGCTATTCGACGCGAAAATGTTATGACAAAATGTATCGTTTTTGACGTTTGAATATAAAGTATCGAATTTGACTAGTTGGAAACGACCGTATTTGTGAAAGACACAGTTTAAGCGTTTAAAGTTTTATTTCGTGTTTCGTCGTTATACCTAAATGCAATGCAGTTTATGCGAAACTCTAAGCGCCATGCCCATGCCTAATCCTTCCCCTCCCCCCAATTTCTCCTCCATCCCTAAATATCCAAATCCCTTATCCCCAAAACGTCAGCAACGCACTCGTTTCTCCTCTGTTGTTGCAGGTGTCCATGGACGGCGCTGATTGCTTACCATCAGGTAAATCCGTCTGCTTGTTTGCCGACCAAAAAAATAACTTTGACGCCATTCAATGTACCCATTCACAACCGTGAAACATTTATAGCATATTACATCAAGTACACGCAAACTAGACACACAAACAAGATACCACGGAAATCAATATTATCTGTAGATAGGCATATAAACATAATTACTTGGTATTTAAATATAGATAAAATAAATTCTAAACACATACATTTATCTGTCCGCTAGTCTAGATAACCTACGTTCTAATTCGACTTGATCTAGCCGCATTGCGTCGCTTGATAGTTAACAACCAAAATTATTAATTTGAAACTTTTAAAGACATAATCTCAAATCAAATACATCAATGTCCGGTCCAGGGAAGTAAAAAGTATGTTGCGTTTCTAGTCAGTAACAGTCTGACACTCTCATTTTACTCAGGGCGGGACAAATCAAATGTCAAATTTTTCATCCTCAAGTAAACCTGAGTCAAAAAATTCATAGAACAACAGTCAGTCTCTACCTCTATTCGAAAAACGAAACCAAGTCCAAGTCCAAGTCAAATCTATACTTATTTATAATATTTGCTTGTTTGTTTGAACGCGCTTACCTCCGGAACTACTGGTTCGAATTGAACAATTCTTTTTGTGTTGTCCATTTATCGAGGAAGGCTATAGGCAAATAAAACATCACACTACGATATGTAGGAACCGAGCAGCGGATGAAACCGCGGGTCTGTAGCTTGTACTTTATGAGTGCCATCACAAAAACGTTAGCTTTCTTTCGATCTTGGGTCTGATTTCCGTATAGAGAACACTAATTTTAATATTTTTATACTCACAGACGGTGTTCCAAAGTTTCATACTGTTGAGTCTGGATATCCATCCCTTGGCGAGCGTCCAGTCGGCGAATATACACAGCAGTATACCGCCCAGCCACGCCGTCAAGTATGGCAGGGCACTTAGTCTTGAATTCTGGAAATAGAAGTCAGAAACTCAGACGTTTGTTATCTTAGAAGATAATGTAGCAATCTGTTGATAGAATACGATTTACTTAATCCCATTTCAATTAGTAACGGACGAAAGATTAAAGAAATTTTTTACTGTAAATTCTAATCTCGTGCGGAAATAGAACTCAAATATGAAATTAATCCAATAACATGCATATTACTATTTGATATGTGACACAACATAATTATCAACTAAAATCTCATGGAGGACAATTTTTTTTAGGGGAGGGTAATCATGACTGGGACTTTTCCCGCCTTAGTTCCCCACCTAGACAGCTGGTTGCGGGGCTAGCGCAATAAGGTACAACGGCCTCGGCCCAAAGCAGGAGAAGGAACAGGGGGGTTTTCAGTCAGTAAGAGTCTGACACACCCTCACGCCATACCGTAGGCGAGAGGATTTGATGATTTGATGATTTTTTCCTTTAACACATTTGATGATTTTTTCCTTACAAAAAACCCCCACTTAGAGGGTCCGTTAGACTATTAATGACCAAAAACCACTCCGTGCCTTCACCAGCTCCAAGCTGCGGTACATCTTTGCATTCGCACCCGCTGTTGGCTGAATTGCAGACACTTTAATAGATTCTGGATACTTACAGATACAATATCAAAATGCAGTATATTGTTCATATAGGAGGGTAGTTCCGTGAACTGTGTGTAGAAAACCCAAGCCTGGCCACACTGCGCTATGAGAATGGCCCATAGAGGGACACAAGTTAGGAACTTCAACCAAGGAATCGATGACGAAGGTTTATCTTCTTGCTGAAAACAAAAAACAAATACTTTTCATGATTTCTTCTCCTCGTAACTCCTAAACGTAACTCGAATTCAATAGTGGAAATGAATGGTCTGGTACATAAGCGTCGTTTGTCAATATCAATTCCATACATATGAGTTCATCGACACAGTCGACACCCTGACACCGCTGCTGACTAATTAAATATCGGACAATATCAACGACAAATAAGATCTTATTACAACAATATAAATAGTGCCATAAATAAAGTCACTTTTTTAATCCCCTAAGGAGTTGGCGGAGGTTTTACTTTTCATTAGTTATGGTATGGTAATAGGTTTTAAGCACTATGCCCAATAATAGAACCTTTATCATTAAAAAGTTTCCACAATACTTTTTCATAAGCATATTATTACTCACAAGTAAATCAGAATTAATTACACATCAATTATAAGCGACATGGCAATAACAATTACCAACAATAATAAATAATAATGAATGATAAAACCATGTATAATAATACTATAAAAAGGTAAGATTTGTATGTTTGTACGTTGGGGGTAATCTTTGGAACTACTAAAGTCCGGTCGCGGAGCAGGAAGAAATTCGTACAATGGCCTGTTATTACCTGTCTCTGTCACTCTCGCGTAAATATGATGCGTCTCGCTCGCACAAATCCAATGACCGCGGCACTCAGGGATTGTGAACCTTTAACCTACTACTGTAAGGTCTGTTTTTGTTTGTTTGTGGTTGTGGTTTTTGGTTGGTCTTGAGTCATGACATGGCTTACTTCACATAATTCATAAATTTTTAAATTCCATCTCGGGATGCGTTAGTGATCGCTCAGTTTTCGCACAGTAATCTCAGTTATCTTAGTTTGTTGTTATTTGTTAGTTCTCTTTTGTTAGTTCTCTTTCTGTTTTGTTATTAAAATTAACAATAAAGAAATAATTTATTTAATAAGCTAGTATTTTTTTTTCTCTTTCAAATATTATAAACTGCACTTTATACAAAAATGTTTGTGACCACTGTCAGTAGGTAAAGAGGTCATTGTACGAATTTCTTCCTGCTCCGCGACCGGACTTATGTCGGATTTCCAAAATTCTTTCACTGATAGACAGCTACAATTTTCAACCTACGACGTTAATATTACTGCAATGACGTTAAAATATGAACCTTATAATTTAGCGTATGTTTTACCTAACTATTTATCAAGAACTTTTCATTTCGGGGAAGTTGCGAGTTATTGTTCTAGCAACATAAAGTTAGTATTAATATTGCTTGTAGAAACCTACTTACGTATAATAAAGAGTGTATATTAGTAGTAGGTACTGCAACAAAACATCTGTGAGGTCGAACTGTACTGAGTAATGACTCATGTTTGTCCCACATTCTGATAACTGTGCAAACTAGCATACATTTACGTAATTCGTATTGAACAGTCGTTTAGATTTTTGTATAACATATAATTTATTTATTTTTTACCATAAAAAAATGTTGCTGGTTTTTTTTTATGTCATAGGTCGGCAAACGAGCATACGGATTACTTGATGGTAAGCAATCAGCTTCGCCCATGAACCCTCGTAATATCAAAGGAGTTACTACAAGTGCGTAGCCGGCCTCTTTTGAGTTATTAGCGATTTAAGAATAGGGAATTTGATTGAATGAATCCGATAACGGGCCTCCGATAACCTTACTTATACGACGAAAACAGTAGGGTCTTCACTAACAGTCATTGCAATGCATAAACATTAAATACATAGATACAGTTTTAAAATTAAATACTTAAATATAATGGTTATTCGTTTTCTATGATTGGGATCTACTCAAACAAAGGTTGTTTGAGTAGATCCCTGAGTGCTTCGAAAAATCATTATTTATATTACAATTTTTCAAAAAGATTGTCTTAGAATAATCTTGTATCCTATTTTAGTGATAACATTTACTTGACCTGGGTTAGTGAATCGTTTTTACCGAAATTGGGTCCAAAATTATATTATCAACATCTGTTTTTTCAAAGAAGCAGAGTATACTTTCTGACATGAAGTTAATGATTTAAATCGACCAGCGCAACTGACTCTTGTTAATCTTGATATAAAGTTTTCTATTTGTATGTGAAGTTTCGAGAGTAAAGTTGCAATTAGAAAATCAATTGTTAAATATACATACTTAAGGTTTAAACTCACCTGAGGGCCAATAGTAGTAACAATATATTCAATCTCCTTTGGACAAATCCTTGGATGTTTCTGTGGCGTGTCATACACTAGTAACAGCCAGAAAACAAACCACACGACGCCAATACCGCCAAAAATGTAGAAACAGAGTGGCCATCCACCAGCAAACTCAAGGGTACACAGCCACCCTGATATAGGTAATGTTATCACTGTGCCAATATTTGAACCTGGAATGAGATTAAATATTTAAAGCTTGGCTAGCTGATACTCTAATGACGAAGTAGGTCAATTCCGGCAAACGCAAATGAAAATTACATTCAACTCTTCAACGGTCCTTCACAATTTAGAGTACATGACTAGAAAAAAATGTGAAATCAGATATTATTATTAAAAAAGTTAATTTTTTGTCTAAAAATTATCAAAAATTTATGCCCACCCAATAATAAAGTTTGCCCACTACTGTTCTAATTGTTATCAAAGTAATTATATACATACTCATAATTGAAGGAAGCAATCTTTTTGATCTCCAAATTAATTACATTCTTATGAATTAGAGTGAGTAAATTAACATGCACTAATACACAAATAGAGTAACATTAAAAATATAATTCAAGACAATCATCAACTTAATTATTAGATAATACATACCAGCATAGACATAAGCTGCAAACTTAGATCTTTCTAATGGAGGTATCCATCTTGCTAGCATAGCATGCATTGCTGGGTAGGTAACACCTTCAGCTAAACCAGCCAGTGCACGGACAGCAATGAAGAATGAAATATCAGTGTATGCAGCAATTGGACTTAATATTGTAAATACAGCAGTGAAAAATATTCCTAAGCCATACACTAGTTTGCCTCCATACATTTCCGCTATTCTGCCTCCTGGTATCTAAAAACAGAAAGTTATGGTTTAATTTGCACAATACTACTTTACATCAAATAAAAAGTCTACCCTTAGTAAATAAACTATCAAAATAGACTTTTTTGTAATTTATTATTAAGATATTTCAAATATTTAATTTTAAATATTATCTTTTAATGTTACTTACTACTAGATATCAAACAATATCAAACATTTGTTACCTGGGTAAGTACATATCCATAGAAAAATGAGCCTAAAACAATACTTTGTTGTTGTACAGTCCAGTTGAAGTCTCCAGGCCTCTGTAATAAAAGAAAATATTTATATTCTATGCCCAACACATCCATGAGTCATTGAATTATATTTTAAAATGTTTGTTATCTCAGGCTCAATGCTTAGTTACTAAATAATGAAATACTTATTTACATTGATTTGTTGTGATGTCAAGTTGTTTCTGAATAGTGCAAATACAGATATAAATTAAAAACAATGTAAAATAAATAACACCATCCACATGCATGGATAATTTCTAAGATACAAATTACTGATATCTATGGTTTTAATTAAAACAATAGTTTTTGTTTTATGAAGTTTATTTATTTTGATTACACTAGGTATTTTGTCTGAAATGAAATTAAAAATAGTAATAAATATAAACCAAAAATTAAACGGAAATATGTTACCTGTGGTACAGAACTGTTGCTGCTGGGACTAGCTGGACAAACATCAACATCTGATGAAGAATTGGATGGTGTAGGTGTAGTAGAGTTAACCATAGCCACAATAGCCACTGAGAGATTCACTCTCATGGCATATACACTGGCAAAGCCCAGGAACCCCATAATGCCAAGCACAGTTCGACACTTGATCCATCCTGTAGTCTCTTCCACTAAAAAGTTTTGTATACAATAAAAGTAAAAATAACAACAGACTTAAACACATTAAATACACCTATTTTTCTACAAAGAATCACTATGGATCCAATTAGAAATATCGTGACTAGATAAACTAATTAGTTGTAGATGAACATAAATACAAATCCTAATTTAGTCATTACTTACGCGTTTCTATTGCGCGTATTCACAATTGAATGCGAAATTGGATTTAATTTGACCTTTAAAGTTAGATAAAAATGTACGCTTTGTTTAAGGTCGAGTAAACATAACAAAACATTACCTGGTTCCGCCTCCACCAAGTTCCGACGGCTACTCGTAACATCATTTTCTATGTCCGAGTTTATTATCGGACTTTCCTCTGCTGACGATGCCATTCTAACACTAAAATTTACAATATCAACACCATTCCGCACTAATATTGCTACTTAAATTGAACCTTTGTCAATGAACTTGATGTCAACCAACACAATTGATGGGAAGTTGCGTTAAAAATCTGTTACACTGCAATTCCAGTGTGAGTCACTGGATAGACTTTTTGTTAGAGAATTATTTGATTTATTCGTAAACAAAGAACTCGCTCTTCGTTTAACCAACTGACAGTGACAGATCTAAAAATTGAAGTTCACGAAAATGACAGAGGTTATCCGTAACGTTTCGATCATCGATAAAATACGTTTTATTATCAACTACTACCTTACCTGAAACAGGTTTCAGGTTTAATTTAAATTGGTTGAGAAACTGTATTAATTTGCTTGCAGATTATGAAAAAAGTGATTTTTTCTATTTTTACATTTTATGTAAATGTAAAATCGTTTGTTTGTAAACGCAACCCACGGCATGCGGCACAGCGGAAAATACTAGTGTGGGGCAAAGATAAAAAAAAACAATAGTGGTCGCAAGTGCAGTTGCTGGGCTAGAGGTTATCGGATGTATAGAATTGTGTTCAATATATGGTAATAGAAGCCTATTGTTATTTTCTGTTACATGGCGCTCATAATATACGTAGGTAGTTCATTGCATAATATGTTAGCCTCTGGTTACGCCGTCAGGGGTAAGATGTATAAAAAACGAATATGTTTTTAATCAGATTAAAACTCACGACCAGCCACTTGACCATCATCAGCACTTTGTAAGAATTCGTTTTGTCGGCATTTACATCCTATCTAAGATTTCATATTTAATTTTGCGAGGTGTGAACCTTATTTTGGAGCTAGCATGCCATGATTTCAAGGTATTTTTTTTCCAGGGGGAAGATATTTAAATTCTCGCTCTACTCTTACTGACAAAATACCACCACATTCCATTTCTTGCTCCAGGCTGAGGCCGCGGTGCCGACCATTATAGTTAAGTTATAGGCCCCTGCTAAAATGATGATGATGTTGACTAATGAGGCAATTCCTGAAGCAAACAAGGAAAGGGTAAAATAATTCAGCAATATTTTTAGTAAAGTGTTTTATTAACCAAATTATATGTAAAAATATGAAAATGTAAATGACTATAAACTTATTAAAAAAATTATTGCCCATTCATCTCACACTAAGTACATTAGAATGCCTGCAACCAAATAACATATTGCTATAAGCACAATTTCAAACTTTCTAGTTTGTTTATAGACATATACAAATATCTATAGTTAGCTGTCTAGCTAGTTACATAAAATATTAATATGAAAATAAATATTTTTACAAACTACAACATTATGATACACCCATAAAATGAACACATAACACTTCTTTGCATTGCACATACAGGAATCAACCAAACAACCATAAACAGGTTTATTATAATATCAACAAAATTAGAAAAGAGGCCATAAACTCTTGCACACAGTAGGTAATAGTAAACCCATGATAACAGTTGATATGAGATTTACACTGTGATTGTCTAGAATATTTCTTCCACTGATATGTTTTACTGTTAGACTAGAGTGTGACACAATCTTGCCATCTTTATCCAATCCTGTAACAGAAATAAAAATACAATGAATAAATAAAAAAAAACACAGGATTTTTTATATTCTATTATCTATTATTTACCTGAGTATTGCAATGTTGCTCCCATCAAGGAATCTATCAAACTTCCAAGAAATCCTCCAAGGGCGCCAAAGAAAATAATAGGCCACTGAGGAGGTGCATAGGTCCATAGAGATTTTTCAGAAAAATAATAAATTGTTAGATACTGTGATATACCAATAGCTAGACCTCCTAGTGTACTGAATAATGTACCAATCACACTGATACCTCCATTTGTGCCCTTAGGAACCTTTTTAAAAGTAGTGACCAAGTATGGGTCAGAGTCTGAAAAAACAGTTCCTAATTCTGATGCCCAGGTGTCACCATTGCAGCATGCAAATACACCTGAAATAAATACCAATTCAATTATTAGAGATACTGGTCTGTTCCATTATTTTCCTTTATTTAAAGATGTTTTACACACCAAGAATTCCAATGGAAAGCCATGAAGCTCTGTAATCAGTGACAAAGTCAATTGGCCGTTCAGATGCTCCAACATCCAATAGATACAAAAGACCAAGCTGTGCAGCCATTCCTCCATTACAGAGAACTTGTACCCAATTTCTTTGTCCACCTGGAATGCCCACAAATATAAGAAACAACCAAACTAGTTTAGAAATAAATATTTATTTTTCGAAATTGATATAATTTATAAACAACCTTTGGAATGCAATAATAGGAGTAAATACAATAAATCCACCAAATTCATACCTTCTTTGAAGTCTTCCTCTATCTTTCTTTTGATATGTGGTCGAATTTTTGTGGCTTTCGATGATGATATAAAGAATGTTATTAGGCAAACCAGAAATGAATAGTTACTTAATGTTAAAATAAAAGCTAATGCACAGCCAAGTACAGCTCCATTTAGTGAAACACTTTTTTTTCTGTATCCATGCACAGCAATAATGAGAGGTATTAGACACGAAGCTAGCCATCTTCCAGGGGATATCACTACTGGTTCTGAAACAATTATATTTTCTTACAAGTGCTGTTTAAACATGCATAAAATTTTCATGATTTCATATCACTGTTATAGGTAAATGAATATATACAGATTATCGCTCCGTTGTTTAAGTTCAAAGTTCGCGGACTTAGATAAGTAATTAAAATAAATATATATTACCATCAAAACCTTCGTTTGTTGTTATGAATTTTGAATAAATTAAGTTGATTATCCACATTGACATCGATAAGGGTATCGCAAGGGCGCACAAAAGGACTGTGATTAAATGTTCATCCTTCAAAATTTTCTTATTTTGAGCCATTTTTTACTTTCACCAGCTTTCCGAGCACGACACAGTTATAAACAAATAAAAAACTAAAAATGAAAGAACAGTACGCGAACACTGGGCAATTTTTATTGCATACTACTTGTTTTTATTAAAACAAAAAAAAATAAGGAAAACTTAAGCAAATGTTTTGTAATTAATTGGTGAAAGTTAAGCCCGGTTTTAATTTTCACACACTGTACCTAACCATTTATTTTGTTTGAAACGTCATAACGTCAACTTAATTTTTATCAATCAAACATAATAACTGAAATTAGTGTTGCACATTGGATGTTTAAACAACAACTCGATTTGAGTGTGCTCGAAGACCTTGAAGGTTGACTTTTTGAATATTTTCACCTTTGTATAAATACATCTTTATTGCATCTCACCTTGTGTTTGATGACAAAACAATTTAGTGAAATAAAATTGGTAAGTAGGTACTTGAGTTTTCTTGAGTTTTTAAAGGAATGATATTTAAAAAAGCGGAAAGTTCGACACAACTATAGTTACAATGTTTTAGTGCATTTAACTTTTTATTCATGGGAAAGGCGGGTGAAGTATTCGATTTTAAAAATTTCATGACTATCCAAATGCAGTTTTACTTTCAGTTTACATGGATATTGGTGAAAATCTAAATGAAAATTGATATAGCAGCCAAAAAACTAGTATTCGACTAAAACAAACTAGATTTGTGTACACTTTGCAGTCATTCAAATCATGTAAATATCAAATCACATCACTAGTTGTCAGTGTCATGTTATGTCAAATATTATAATGAGAAGTGTATGAAGTTTTTTTGTGTTCTGTGTGGAAATGAAATAAAATATTTTGTGTAAACCATTCAGTGAAATAAACACTTAGTGAAAATGAAGCCACTTATTGATTTCGATGAATGTCTCAGAGATTCTCCAAAATTTAGGTATTGTGAACATAGTGATTAATGAAAGTCATTCATAGAAAGTGAAAATTTGTACGTGTTGTGCGTGTTAATTGTTGTATAAGCCATCCTGTTTGTTATTGTAGGGAGCAGCTGGAAACAGAAGAAGCTAGCATCGATTCACTGGAGCAGAAACTTGATAAAGTTCTTAAAGCATGCTCTGTAATGATAGACTCTGGTAAAATCTACATGAGTCATAGAGGGTAAGAATTGTACTCCTTTCTTTTTTATTTGTATAGTTTTTCTCACACGGTGTGCTACTTCCGTACTCATAGATCAATAAACCATTAACTGCCAATAAAATTCTTGTGTTATAACATTCTTGCTGTTCTAAATAGAGTGCTTACAATGAAGTTAATTGATTTTGAATATTTTATCAAATGTATTCCTAAACCTTTCATTATATCATAATTATTTTAGTTAAACACTTAAAACCCAGTTGATAAGAACATTAAAATGTCCCAATTTATTATCTTTGTTAATAATAATAAGCTCTTTATTACACTACTTCTGTTCAAAAGCTATAAAAAATATATTATAAACTGTTAATAGTAAAAGGTTGGTAAAAATTTACTGGTAGTTATAAAAACATCATGATTTTTTTTTAAATAGTGGTTGAATATTTTAGGACATTCACAAATGCACTGTGGGACCTGACTGGGAGCTTTGCTGAGGATCCACCTGTGATGGCGACACTTAACAGAATGATCCATTCCTTGCAAGAGATGAATAAGTTTCACTCTATCCTCCTGGACCAAGTGTCCAGGACTGTGCTCAAGAATCTCACTGCTTTTATTAAAGTGTAAGTATCTTAATTTATTTACAACTAGCCTTTGCCAGCGGCTATTTGTTTAGAATAATGACTTGCACATTTTATTGATGAAGGCATGGTATGCTTCATCTTTGTAAATACATGAAATATTAATTTCCTTATTCATATTGGTTAGGTTTTTGAGACATTCCATTTTGTTAAATACATTATCTTTGGTATGTGAATGTCTCAAAAAATATAACAAAAAACCAATATTACAAAAATCTTACACTATAAACCAATTTCCTTACCTTGTGTTACAATTGACTTAAATAAATGTTTGTTTCGTAAAACATTCTAGTTCTGCAAGTCAGTTTTATCTCTACACACTTACATATACAATGGTAATGCTTATCAATAAATGTGTTTTTATTGCCTTATAAACAATTTTATCAAGAGATTTTTATTGAATAATAGTTTAAGTCATTTAAAATCAAACTTACACAATTGTAATAAAGTTCGTTTTTTAAAAAACGATATCTTACAAAGCTATTCTTTTTCTTTTAAACAAGGCAGAGAAACAACTATGCTATAAATTATATCATATAATTTACGAAAAGTATTCATAACTATTGTTGCTTTTATAAATGTAAAAGTTTGTGAGTATGTGTGTATACAAATGTATGTTTATATTTAAAATAAATCCACCAAGCAATTTTATATAAAGGGAGGCATAATATCAAAACAAAAACTATAGTAGTTTCACAACAATTCCTTCTATCCGCATAAAGCATGCTTAAAAAGTTGGCAACACCATACATCACTTTTTTTTTCATTCAACCAAAATATTTATTTGGGACCCCATGATAACAAGCTCCTTTTCTGATTATGTTAGTACTTTCCTACATACAGTGTCTATGTTTTCTTGGTTATTTTACATTAAAAACAAAGTAAGGGAAAATGTATGCTGATATTTATAGTTAATGGTTCCGAACTGAGATACAGAATAAATATTTACCTTATAGTTCATTGATTTATGTCAGTTACTCTGTCTGAACATTAAGTTGACGATAGTCCTAAATTTACGAGTATTTTAGGACACTTGTTTATTTTAATATACCAATGAGGGTTAACTGATTCTTCACAATAGTGTAGTGGAGTAGTCCCTAAACACCTATGCTTAAGATTTTGACCTCACGGTTTTAGATTGGGATAAATATTTCTTATTAATTATTAAATTCACAATAGCCTAATATTATTGTGCCAAGTTTTGAAGTAATTTTCAAAACGAAGGCGACTATGGTAGCTTTTTTTATAGAGTAGTCCCTCAATCTAAACAGCTTCCTCTTCTACTTCAAATGGGTCGGCTCGACTGGAATGCGGCCACAGAATAGCGTTTGCCGCGTGGGTGAGGTTACCGGCGGTACAATCTTTCCCCTCCCCAATCCCAATATCTCCTAAACCCCTATCCCCAAAAGGTCGGGAACGTACTCGTAACTCCTCATGATTCCTCCTCCTGATCGCCATCAAGTAATACATCTACTAGTTTTCCGTCCTGTCAAATAAAAAAAGCTTCGGTCTATCTAATTCAAAGCTTATACTATCTATAATTCTATATCTTACGACTAAAAAACAACCAGATAATTTGACAGTTTTGGTACACATTTATGTAGGTATTGCATCTCTGCAAACTCTAGACATTTGTTAAATAAAAACTGAAATGTACACTTTGTATAAACAAATAAAATAAGTTCCATACATATAACAAAGTTGATTCACTGCAAGCAATAATAATTGATAACTGGTCACACATCGACAATTTCCTTTATATGAGTAATGCGTACGAACAAATGTAATAACATTATAATTTTATAACGATTTTGTTTGTTACAGAGATATTAAAGGTGTCAAAGAAAGTAAAAATCACTTTGAAAAAATCTCCAATGATCTGGATACAGCTTTAAATAGGAATTCTCAGGTGAGATGTCTTAAAATTACGTAGGTATCTTCATCATCTTCATCATCAGCCGTGTTCCACGTCGAACGACAACTCGCTATTTGCAGCTATTGACTCCCCGCGACTCTGACGATGTCGTCGGTCCACCTATCGGGAATCCCACCCTTTCAAATTATGTATTGTACCTAGTCAATGCTATTTTTTTAAATGTTAAACCTATGTAAAGATACGCGTAGACGATTGACGATATAAATCAAACAATTCAAACGAATGACATTGCACAAAAGTAGTTGTGCAGATTAAACGAAGTTCTGATATAAATAAATTGTACGTAACTGTTGATTAGTATAGCTCGCCATGCATTATCCGTTGAGAAAATCCTCCCTTTTCTGATGTTAGGAAACTTTACATTCTGTCCCCTAAATTTAGAATGCTTCGCTAGTCTCTCTTATGTATTCTTAATATCCTTAATATGATATTGTGAAGTCCATGTAATATTGTAATTTGATTCTGTAAAAGACCCATTGTCAGACATAGGCTTCTCCGCTATGACGTCAATGAGATGTTAATGTCGTTCTAAATATAAATAAATGAGATATCAACCTCTTTGCTCAGGTATCTCGCCACAAATGTGTGGAAGTGGAGGAGGTGATGAATCTCTTACTGGCGACGCGATCATGTTTCCGTCACACGGCACTCGATCACGTGCAGAAGATCACCATGTTGCAGGCAAGGAAACGTCACGAAATACTGGCTACGGTGAGTTACATGTAACTTTACATCTTATATTAAATACATGAAGGTTGGTTTTCCAGTGTATGTACACAAGTATGCATTATATAGTGTAGTAAAATAAGAATAGTAGAGTCTGTTACTGTGAAAATTTTATAAGAATAGTCTCCTACCTTCTGTTTTTAAATAAGTACCGATACCTACATGTGAAACGATTTGTTTTGCTAATTCCCTGAGCTCTGCGTCTATTATATCTTTGTACCTACTTAGAACATAAGAAGACTTATAGAAATATAATAAAACAACGTTTTACTTTAGCCACAGTTCCATTACTTTTATAATAAAATCAAGAAACCATAACGAAGATAGAAGTATGAGAATATTAACGACGCACCTGTCCCAAGTAATGAATAGCTTGATGAATGAACATAATAATTGCCAATTTCCATAATAGGAAGGGTAAAAAACAATAATGCGTGGAATGTCCGCGAGGGTCGCAGGCACAGCGCAATGTGTTTCGCATTGGTTGGACATGTGTGATCCGTTTTTAGACTGTAACGAATCGCCCTGACTACACAATGAGTTAAATATATTTGCTTGTTTTCAAACAGTACGTAGAACGCTCAAAATTTATGTTTAAACAACCATACGTGATCTTACTTCTTCTTATTAATATTATAAATGAGAAAGTTCCGATGTTTAGATGTTTGTTAGTCAATCTCGCCAAAACGGCTGGACGGATATGGGTGAAATTTGGCACAGGCATAGAATAAACTCCGAAATAGGACATAGGCTACTAGGCTACTTTTTATCAACATACCGAGCGGGCGAAGCCGCTGGCGGAAACTAGTAAGTTATAAGTGGCACGTGATACGTATATTTCGCGTAGTAATCGCGTAGACGCGTGTAGGTACAGATATAATCAGGTCAATGGATACGGGTAAACTAGTCCTCTAGCTTCATACGGATATGTTATTGGTTTCATTAAGTAGGTACCTAAACTTAATTTAACATTATCAATGTGCAATTGGCTAGTTTCTTACTATAATATATAAAAATAATTGCACTTGCATTATTAAAAAGGTTTGACGTTAAAATATTGTGACGTCACTGCGTGCTATTTTATACAAGATTCGTAGAGAATTATTGTGTTGCCGGCCTTTTAAAAGAATTTTTATAAAGGCCTTTTTAATAAAGGTATATTGGGATGGGATGAGGATAGGAGAATAGGGATTGGGCCTCCGGTAACCCCACTCAAACGGCGAAACACAATGACACTGTGCTTGTCTCACGCTGGTTTTCTGTGAGGCCGTCGTATCACTCCGGTCGAGCTGACCCATTTTTGCCGAAGCATGGCTCTCCCACACTTAAAACTTGTTAAAAACTATCCTATTCATAGAATTTTGACACGATTAAGCGAAACGCGATATTATTCTGCAACTAACAGTTTGTCAGTGCCATTGTAACAGATCGATAAATCAAATTGACCCAAATAGAAAAGCAGTTTCAGTTATTGGCATAGATTCGGCTACTGAAATTATATAGATTTTTTATTGATGCACGGTTACAGAAACGTAGTGCCACACGAGCTACAAATATTTTTTTATATGATATATCGACAAACGAGTAGACTGATTACTGATGGTAAGCAATCAGCGCCGCCCATGGACTCCCGCGACGACAGAAGAGTGACGAGTGCATTGCCGACTTTTTGCGGATAAAGGATTCGGAGATTTAGGGAGCGGAAGGATTGGGCCTCCGGTAACCTCACCTCTCCGGTTCACACGGCGAAACACATCGCTGTGGTTGTTTCACGCCGGTTTTCTTTGAGGCTGTGGTATCACTCCAGTCGAATCGACCCATTCGTGCCGAAGCATGGCTCTCCCACTCTTACAAACAATATCTTCTGATCACCTTTTCACCGGCTATTGTGTAGCTTCCCAACAGTAACATAATGTTTCAAATCCGTCAATTAATTTTAAAGCCTATTCAAACAAAACTTTCCTCTTTATTGTATAACTAGCGACCAGTCGCGACCTCGCACGGATGCAATGCTTAAACTAAAATTCTCCACCATTTATTGGATGTTATTATACTACTCTGTCAAGAAACTACCGGGAAAAAGTCAATTATACACAAAATGTTTGTTATTCATCTAAATTTATTTTATCACCTTCAAAGTATGCTCCTTCAGAAACGATACACCCAACGAATAATCCAATCATCGAAACTTTTTTAAACGCTGTTTCCGGAATTGAGTTCAGTGCTCGCCGCGAATTCTCCTTTATGTCTTCTAACGCTTGAAAACGGGTGCCACGAAGGGGTAATTTGAGTGTGGGAAAAAGAAATATGGTGGCTGCTCGATGGTGTTTGTTGAGTGTTTGGACAAAAAATCGTTTACAATGATGGCCTTGTGCGAAGGCGCATTATCGTGATGCAAAATCCAAGAATTTTCTTTCCACATTTCTGGCCTTTTTCGTCGAATTTGTTCTCTTAAACGCCGCATAACGCTCAAATAATATTCTTTATTTACCTTTTGACCTTCGGGCAAGAATTCTGAGTGCACAACACCGCGATAGTCAAAGAAAACAGTCAACATGACTTTGACTTTTGATCGACTTTGACGTGGTTTTTTCGGTTTTGGTTCAGTTGGAAGGCGCCATTCCGAAGCTTGTTGACTAGTTTGCATGTCAAACTCGTAAACCCACGTCTCGTCACCAGTAACAATGCGTTTCATGAATGTTGGGTCGGTATTGATTCGTTCTAGCATGTCCTCAGCGACTTTCATGCGATTTAGTTTTTGAAGAAAATTCAGGTCTTGTGGGACAAGCCGAGCGGCAACACGTTTCATACCCAAATTATTTGTTAAAATGGTACGGATCGACTCGTGAGATACAGAAAGTTCGGCGGCCATCTCTCTCAAACTTGAATGAGGATTATCAGTCACTATTTCCTTCACTTTTGCGATGTTAACTTCAGTTGCAGACGTTGATGGCCTACCAGAACGAGGCAAATCTTCCATCACGACCGCTTTTGAACGCTTTGTACCACTCATAAGCACGTGTTTTTGATAAAGTCGATTCACCGTAAGCCGTAATTTCGTGTTCGGAGGCACTCAAAATGTTACAGAATAACATTTTGAGTGCCTCCGAACACGAAATTTCATTGGCGATGCAAAATTTAAGACAAACTCTTTGTTCGATGTTTTTGTCCATTATGAAATTTGCAATACACACTAGTTATTATAAAACTAAAAACAGCACTGTTTTTAATATAAATAACAGATGCAACTCAAATTCCGCGCCAAAATGGAAAACAGTTATGCCAATCTAACAACAACAAAAAAAATTTAAATTCGAATTTGGAACCATAAAAAAAACATTCATTCCCGATACTTTGTTGACTGAATGTACAATTGTACATATAACCCTTCCTCTTTAATAATTTTAGCATACTATATCCCATAGGGACAGAGGCAGGGAAGTAAAGATGAGGTAATCTACGTACTTAGCGAGTTGCTTTTAATATCACAATAATAAAAAGTAGGTACACATTAAAATCAGTACAACACGACATGTCACGATTTTCTTAATTATATGATAACAGTATCGATATAAAATTAACAGCATGTACAACAATGAAAATAAAATCTATACTAATATTATAAAAAGGTTTGTAAGTTTGTATGTAAGGGTAACCTTTCGAACGGCTGACCGGATTTCCAAAATTCATTCACTGATAGATTTTGCATTTACAATATTACTGGGTGCTTTTTTTTGGCTATAACTTATACTTGATTTGCGAATTTTAGCCAAGCTATCGCTTTAAACGCTGCTGTTTTTAAATCCCGGGATAGATTACCTTTGTACGCGTGAAATAAAATGGCTGTGCCACCGCACGTGGGACCGTATCATCGTAAAATATGCTATTTTGTTACACATATAGCATTCATTTACGTGACTTATCGCATTCCATTGCCTTTTTAAATAGTGGTTGCAAGATTTGTTGCTAAGGACAAAGTCACGAATTCAGGAAAACAGGTCAACTAGATAGATACCGTACCATTTAACCGCTCCAAAGGGGTTTACAGTGTACCTAGTCATTAGGGCAAATTGATTGGAATAAACGCTTGTAGGTCAAATTTTTAGCTTCTTATTAGTCCGCTAGTGATGTATATGGGTGGCTCCGATTTACCACTAGCTACTCCCCGCGGTTTCACCAGCTGCTCGGCTCTATTTGATCGTAGCGTGATGTTTTATAGCCTATAGCACTCAGGAACATTGTAGCTATCTATCAGTGAAAGAATTTTGGCAATCCGACCAGCGGTTCCAAAGATTACCCCCTACATACAAATTTAAAAATATATAATATTAGTATAGATTAGGTAGCCCGTTAGCCGTCCAATCATATAAAAAACAGATTTCAGACAAAACTTATTTGTTCTCTTTCAATGAAATCTTTGAAATTCATCAAATGACTTCTCCCGCCCAGGGCCGGGCGGGAGGGAGTGTCAGACTCTTACTGACTAAAAACCCCCTGTTCCTTCTCCTGCTCTGGGCCGAAGTCGCGGTGTCTCATTGTGCTTACCCCGCAACCCCATCTGAACATCAGCCCTATATAGGGCCCCGTCTGTGGTGGTCTATTGGCTCTTTGAGGCGCGCTACGCGCCGTACGCTCGGGACCATTCCCTTTACGTACGGAACATCGTCATGTCGGTATTAGCATTAAAGTCCCAATATCGCTTTGATGGTAAAGCAACATTTTATCGTCTCCATTCATATTTTTGAAATCTGCCAAATACCTGGCTTTTGAACTCGACTCAATTGTCAAAATATTATAAAGTAAGTATAAAATTCATTGTTAATGTAATGAATCTGGCATGCCCTTTGAGGTAAAATTATCTAAGAGATAAATAAAGAGAAAAATTAATGTTATTTGATTTGCGAGATCTTCTTCGTGTTCCAGCACCGAATCAGACAATCGGAGATAACAAGGCTAATATTAGAGTTTAAAAAAAAACTATCAAA